AACTCGCTATCTTCATTTTTGTATACCGATTCAATTGGCAATTCATCCATCACACAATACCCTTTTTTATTTTTTAATAAAATAATTATATTTATATTGGGTATATTGTTTTTTAGATTATATGATTTTCATATGTTTTAAAGTATACAGAACAAAAAATCATGGTCTCATGTGGGAATTGTGTACGTCACATACATGTGGCGCTGGTAACAAATGTGTTAAAGTTTGTTGATGATAGCTTTTATTTGATCATAAGGGAAACTTGAAAATTTAATTTTTTTTAGTTTCTTGTGTGATATAATGAAGGGTTGGATGAATCTGTTATTCTAAAAATGTTTATCAGAAAATTTATTATTTATAATATTTACAACATTTTCAAAGCATATATTTAATTGTTTTACAGCTTGTAATTGAATGAAGAATCTTCCAGGTTGCTTTACAGGTCACATTGTATAGGGGTTTAAGCCGAAATAGGCGTACAGGTAGGTGGAGTCTTATGAACACGCCAAACCAATGGGTCGCCACACCTACTATCATCATTCGTTTCCGCTTCTTTACCTGAACGAAAGGTAGGAATCTTTGTGGAACCCAAAGAAGAGAGGTGTAATTTTAAAAGAGCCTCCTCCTCTCCCTAAATGGCTAACATTTTCAATCTCTTCCTCTTTATTCCTTTTTTATCAATAATTTATTACAAAAATCACGATAAATTATATATTTCAGATGTTAATAATAATAACATAATAATGTTATATTTAATTGTTTTATCATTGAAGCAGAAATATTTCAATAGGAAAGCTGGTTTTAAAAATTTTTAAGCGTAATTTATTGAACAATAAATTTGTCAATTTTAGTATTGTAAAATACATTATCGGAACAATTTATTATTATATTATTTATTCTTTTAATAATATTCATCTCAAATAATATTCTTTCACCTTTTGAATTCGTATAGAAACAGTATTTCCGGTTATTACGTCAAACGCAATCCGTTCAATGATTGTGCGTTCGCAAACGCATCCATATGATACCTATTTCTGCATTTCCTTTGTAATCGAATTTCCACCAATCCGAAGCGCGATGAACGGTAAATGGAGATTTTTCGAACACGGAAACGAACCTGTGGAAAATTTTCGCAAATTTCATTCTCGCGTCTGTTGAATCTTTCTTCTCGAACAGTTTTATAGTTTCTCAAGTGATATATCCGTGAACTTCTAGAAATTATATTCGCTACAGTTTGAAGAGGTTTTCAAGCGCGCTAAAATTAACTCGGTGGAAATTGGAAAAGTCTGATAAATATGACTGTTCGAACCGACCTATCAGCGTTTCGCAAGTGTGGCCCGTGATTCCTTGCGCGTTGGAGTTCAGATCAAGGTTTTCTGATCGGTCGTCATAGTTTGAGGAGGTGAAAAGTCTGGCGGTGCTTACGCGATATTCTTTATGAAATCTTATATTTAACGGTTGGCTCCTGAATTCCTTTCGCAGCCGTAAGTACAAGAGTTTAACTACCTTTTACGTGAGAGGACCTACTTTGGAATTCGTATTGCGACGTACGCGAGAGCTCGAGATGTTTCCAGACGAACGTCAGTCTTTCCGTTCCCGTCGATGCCAAAATGTCTAATCTAGCATATCTATCGTAGAAGAGAAAGAATATCTTGTAAACAAATACTTGGGGTTTTCTATTCTACAATTTTTATCGCATCTTGTTTTAGAATTTAGTATCGTCGAGGCTACACCCCTATCTTCAACATCGTCACTGAATTAATACCTAACCCTCAATAGCTCATTGTCAAGCAGTTTCAAGGTATTTCTGTAACCCCCCCATTGACGACTCAGCTAATGATCACAGAATAACCTGTATCTACATTTTCTCTTACCTTTCGTTTCATGAATAAATAAATACGTTTTTTAATCAAATCATTTAGTACATTGTTATATTGATACAAAATTGTTATTTTTGGTCTTACATATAACTGTTTCATCCATCATACCATGTATGTGCATATTTAATAATATTGTGTACTGTAGTAATGATGCTCTTTTATTAAAATATTATTAATGTAAATTATATGATTTAATGTATTCATTTGAAAAAATTATTTTGTTCCATGATATAAAATATTATATCCTCCATAATAAAAATAATTTTTAGCATGTAAAAACACAAAGCCAAGTTAATCATTGAATTTGATAATTACATTTAAAAATACATGTTGATTGTGTAACATGAAATTATTGGTGAAAAAAATTTTATGATAAACTTGGCTCCAGCTTAATAATTATAAATAACTCTTTAGGAATGTCATGATTGTACTAATTAATAATTTCTAATATAAAATTTCTACTTTATAGTTTGATTCTGCTTAAACAAAGAAATTTAAGGTATTATATAATAAATTTGACTTTTATTAGATGTATACATGAAGTATATCTTAAGAGGAATATAATTAAAAATTATAGATGTTTTTTGCCTTAACAGATCCAAAAGTACTAATATATAGTAATTTCCACATTTTTTGCAGATGTCAGCCACAACTACACATAAATACCGTTACAAAAATGTGGGCTTGGACTCACAAGAACTACGCAGACGTAGGGAAGAGGAAGGTGTTCAATTAAGGAAACAAAAAAGAGAACAACAGTTGTCAAAGAGACGCAATGTTCCTAATATGGTAGCTGATGATGACAGTGTTGCTACAGATGAAAGCGTATTTCCTGTACCACCAATAGTAACTTTGCATTATTAGAATTGGAAATAAATATTTTTCTATCAATTTACTGATTCAAAAATGTCATTTGTTTCAGCAAACACCTACTATAACACCAGAAATAGTGCAAGAACTATACAATCCTAATCCAGAGCTTCAATTGAAAGCTACACAGAACTTTAGGAAAATGTTATCCAGGGAACCGAACCCTCCGATAAACGAAGTCGTAGAAACGGGAATCGTACCTAGATTCGTTGAATTTTTGCAAAATAATGAGAATTTTACTCTACAGGTTGATAGATGAAAAACGTCTTTTTGTTAACGAATAATTCAGTTCATATTGAAAACAGGATAACGTAAATGACATTTGTAATTATTTCAGTTTGAAGCAGCTTGGGCTTTAACAAATATAGCCAGCGGAACGTCTCAACAAACTCGTGTAGTGATCGAGGCAGGGGCTGTACCCATCTTCATATCACTACTCGGGTCTACGCACGAGGACGTTCAAGAGCAGGCTGTTTGGGCATTGGGCAATATTGCAGGAGATAGTCCTGAATGTAGGGATCATGTATTAGCCAGTGGAATACTCACTCCCCTGCTGCAGTAAGTTTCAGCAGTGCATCGTCGTTTAATATTAACTTTCACTTTGAATTTCATAAAATGAATTCTTATTTCAGACTTCTCTCAAAAGGGACACGTTTGTCGATGACACGCAATGCGGTATGGGCATTATCGAACCTTTGTCGAGGCAAGAATCCAGCGCCAGATTTCGCGAAAGTCGCGCCATGTTTGCCAGTTTTAGCTCATCTTCTTACTCACACCGATAGCGATGTTCTTGCTGATGCTTGTTGGGCTCTATCCTATCTAAGCGATGGACCGAACGACAAGATCCAGGCAGTTATCGATGCAGGTGTTTGCAGACGTCTAGTGGAGCTACTCATGTAAATATATAATTAACGTTATACGTGTGACTTAAATTTGTTAATTATACTAATGAGTTTGACGTTTCAGGCATCAACAACACAACGTTATAAGTGCAGCTCTACGAGCAGTGGGTAACATAGTTACCGGCGACGACGTCCAAACACAAGTCGTTCTTAACTGCTCCGCATTACATTGCTTGTTGCATCTGTTGAATTCACCCCGCGAGACTATCCGCAAAGAAGCTTGCTGGACAATTTCTAACATCACGGCTGGAAATCCTCACCAAATCCAGGTTCGTACGTGGTTCTAGAAAAATGTATAATTTGTAAGATATTTTGAAGTTAATGGATTTTCTTTTAACAGGCTGTTATCGATGCTGATATATTCCCTGTTCTGATTGATATTTTGGGGAAAGCTGAATTCAAGACTCGTAAAGAAGCGGCATGGGCTATCACAAATGCCACCAGCGGTGGTACACCCGAGCAGATACGTTACCTAGCCGCAGAAGGATGCATTCCACCATTGTGCGACTTACTAACTGTAATGGATGCTAAGATCGTTCAAGTTGCTCTGAACGGTTTAGAAAACATCTTGCGTCTTGGGGACCAGGATGCTGCCGCGCATAACAGTGTCAATCAGTATGCGGTATTGATCGAAGAATGTTACGGTTGGTATATATGTGTTAAAAGAGGGGATTAAGAAAGAATTTATTATGCTATTAAACGAATGTTTCTGGTGTGTTTTCAGGCCTAAACAAAATAGAATTTTTGCAATCACATCAAAATATTGAAATCTATCAGAAGGCCTTTGATATGATCGAACGGTACTTCGGTTCGGAAGAAGAGGATACGCGAGTCGTACCTACCATAGACGCGCAGGGACAACAGTTTCAGTTTAGAGCACCCGATTCGTCTCAGCTACCAGTTCAAGGCTTCGAGTTTTAATCGGTTAATTTTAATCGAGTCTCCAAATGTATCACCAGATTCAATCTTGTTTCGTTCATTGAATTTACGACTATTTCTCGTAAGAAAAAGAAGAAGAAAAAAAACAAATAAGGACAATCTTCGAAGTGGAAAATCAATCGATCGGATACAAAAGAATAGTATATTTATACATATACTTTGAATTCGTTTGTATGAAACAGAATATCAGTAAAAATCTCGAAGTAATCAGGTTTTTGCTCGACGATAAAGATGAGTAAAATGTTTATACGCAGTTATTTTAAGTGGTTTTCTCTTATTATTTTTAGCTACACCATACGCATCGCTCTAAGTTTATTAAAACGCGACTGTGTTTAACGAACTTACACCAAATTGTGACAACGCTTTCCCTTGGGCGTTAAAGCAGTTTGGATGGATTCGTTTTCTTTTCTTTTTTTTTTCTTTCTTTGAATTCGTGCATACGACGTATTTAGTATGAAACGTTCAGTTAATTAAAATTAACAGATATCATAGTGCTTAAGTAGATAAGTACAGAAATATTGATCAGGACGATTTACTTGAGATAGACCTGTACCTTGTACGACCTACGACTGACTCAGAATTACGAAAAAACTTGCACAACCGGCAAGACACTAACGACTGAAGTACGCGACTACGTAGCCAACACGGACAACATTACGCAACGCGGTACTCACATCCTTACTACATTAGGTAGGAACATGACCAATTAAACTTTTTTACTGTAAATACGTATCTTGTAATTTTAAGGCTATTCTATACAGAGTGCCCTTAAAAAACGAAGCCACACTTGTGTCACCCTAGCAATATTTATTTTTTTTTTTATTATTATAAATGATTCTATTTAATATCGGCACAAGTGTATTTTCAAAATATTTTCTCTTATCATAATTTATTAAATTACAAGATGTTTTTTTACATGTTTCTATGCTTATGTTAACAATTAAATATAAAATATTAATCAGAAATAAGAATAGTTATGTTTAATTGTTTTTATAAACATTTTTTATCAACGAAATTTTTGTGTTCTTTTTAAAAATGTTATTTTTTTGGAATCGTCAAAATCAAAATTTATATATGTATATATCTCGATCTTTATTTTTTTTTGTTTTAATTTCGGTCTTTTCTTCACAGTTGTACAGCACGTTCAATTTTGGACATTCTGTATAAAAGGTCTGTGACTGTATAAAATGTATTTATTATTTAGGTTTGACGGTACCACGCTACATTATGCAAGATATATATATATAAATATAAATATAAATATATATATATTACCTACTTTTAGTTACGGACGTGAATTATTACGACAGAGGAGGACTGTATTATAAAAATCTCGTAAGTTACCACTTTGCTAATAACATACTTTTAGCAAGGTGTCGACTTACAAGGATTTGTTGCCAATTTATAAAATGCTTACCAAATAGGATATAAGCATGTTGGAAAATGATTTTGCCATTTTTATGTTGTTGCACGCTATTCTTAAATAAATAACAAAGATATCTTAAAGTTTTATTACTAATAAATTCATACAGTTCTAAGCTTCCTCAAATATACATTTTTATATAAGTTGTAAAAATTTTGATATAAAGTAATCACGATACTTTTATATAAATCTACTTCATTAATATTTGATTGCAACATTTATAATAGATTTAAAAATATTAAATTCTCTTCGATGTAATTAAAAGGAAATTCTTTTTTTCTGTGCATGTGATTTTATGTGTAAAGTGTTACAAAATAAACGCATTGTAAATTGGCAATACAGGACTATGAATAAAACTACGTGGACGGTAGACCGACAAATTACACGTTAAAATAAAAATGAGATATGACACGTACGAAGTGAACTTATTCATTATATTTTATTTTATAGCTATATAAACACGTCATCTATGAACGTAATTAAAATCATGCCAGAGGCATCGATCTTGTTGTTATATTTTTTGAAAATTTGTAGAAACCAGCAAATCATCATTGGAAATCTTTATCTAAAAGAATGTTGATTTTCTGTACTGTCATTTGACATAACAAAATAAAGTTGAATATTAATACATAAGAATGTTTATTTAATGCTGAATACATAAATAACTACTTATTATAACAAGTACAATTATTATAAAAGTTGTGCACATGTATTTAGTAACTTAGTATGATTACACTTATGTCATGATGATAACAACTTGTACTTTTATTCAGAAATCACAGCCTTTAATTTATTTATTTGCTCTTCAGGAAAAGAGCAATCGGTATAATTGAAACTTGTACTTGATTCTGGTAATATTGGTACAATAATTCCATCAGTCAGTCTAGTTATCAATGGATCTAATATATCTTTCTCTATTTTGCCTGATAATCTCCTAATTAACTTTTTTTCAACAAATTCTAATTCCTTTTGGGATAGAGTGTAATCATCAACAACCATTGTTATAATATAAATAACATGCTCAACTAAAGGATTTTCTCTATCACAAAAATTATGAAATGCTTTGATTGCCTCTGTATTTACATTCAATAAATCTTGTATTATCTAGAAAAGAAAAGAAAATTATCCCCTAAAATAGTTGAAGCCTTAAAATATAAAAACACAAAATATACTCACTACTGCTGGTTTTTCTAAAATCTTTGCTTTTAAATTATAAATAACTTGTCCAACATCATTTGGAAAATCTTTTGGTGCCAGTATTAAGTAATTGTTGCAACCTAAGATTGCACCACTTAATTGTCCAAGTAATTGTGCCAAACAATTCAAAGTATTTACTTCTTTTCCAAATAAAGTAATAATTGAAGGTTTCTTAGGATACAAAATTACATCATATATAGCAGCTGATATATCATTCCAAATAGTAGACTTTTGATTATTAAACTTTGTTTTAATAATCTGCATTGATTTGTCTAGCATTTTATCTACTTTAATTAATTGTGTTGCTTTTGTTTCCACTTTAGGCTTCAATGTTTCTTGATCTACATTTTTACAAGGTACTGCTTGGATAATGAAGAAAATACTGAGAACCACAATGCAAGCCACACTACATAAAAATATATTAGGATATTGGGTGCCTGATTTTTGCTTAGACCGATAATGTATTGGTTTTGGAGAATAGTTACTAGTAGTATTTAAAGGATGACTTGTATTTGGACTATGAAAATTTCTTTCATATACTTTTGAAGTATAAGAATAATTGTTTGCACTCCTAAAGGAGTCTAATACATTTTGTGATGAATTGTTTAATGATTCACCACTATATCTATTATTATCATGATTCTGATCATCACTATCATCATCATCTCCAGATTGTGTATTGTCATCAGAATCATCAGAAAGGTTTGAATAATGATATCTGGATTTGTACATATTTTTTTTTAGCAATAAATTTTCCGAATTTATACTAGTATTTCTTATTGACGGACGTGCTTTGGGAATAAGTGATTTAAAGAATTCTTGATCATTTTGCTGAAAAAAAAGTGTCATAATTATGTTCAAATACTAAATGACATTTTTCATTCTATCATATCAAGTTTATTTTTAAATAACGAATATACATACGCCGAACTTTTCCATCCTTAATTAAATCAAAATATAAGTATATACATTGTGTTTGATAAAAAATCAAACATTTTAACGATGAATAAGAGCTCAGATTAACTGTCACGGTGTTATTATTTGTTCATAAGATTAAATTTTTATAAATCAATGATATGAGAAAACCACTTGTTAAAGATAATATAAGTTATATTAATTTCATATTAAGAATCACATATCTTTATACTTTGAATTACTTACAACATAGCTTTATACGAGAAGCATACATATGCTTCGTTTCATACCAAATAACGATTAAAATAAATACACAAATTGCGTTATAAATACATAATTTACGTTAAATAATTTTTGATGTGTATGTTGGTAATCCTACAATCAAAACTGTAGGGATTTTTAATTTTAACTTAACGGATCTACCGTGTGTGAAATATACATATATATATACAACACACATATACAAATACCTATGACCAAGAGTAGGTGTCATTTCAGGATCATTTCTGACAATTATTTCTTTTGAATTCATTTTTAATCATGTCATATTTGAATCAACCTGATTATGTACGTTACGTATGTAACTGTGGATCTTTGAAACCGATTTCGAAGATTTATTTTTGCAGACATTGTTCGAAAATACGTTGTGGTTACTGTGTATGTCAAGAGGTATGCTTTCTCTTATATTATTCAGTATTAATGTCTCCTTTTAGTTTTTCGTATATTATATCTCATTTTTTATTAATAGGTTGATTCACATTATTGTCCTAATTGTATGGAAAGTTTGCCTTCATCAGAGGTCAGACTTAAGAAAAACAAGTAAGTTTTAAATGCCACACTGTAACTAAACAAATGGAGACTTAAATTTGCATTAATTTCACAAATATGTTCACAGGTGTTCAAATTGCTTTGAATGTCCTTGCTGTTTTCAAACTTTATCTACAAGAGCTGGACATGTTCCTTTAAGAGTAGCACCTCCAGAAGGAGAAGATGCTAAAGATGTTAAAACAACACCTAAGAAGGTTTATTATTTATTCTGTTCATTATGTAGATGGACTTCCAGAGATGCTGGTATTCCAGATCAATCAGTGGGTGGGTATAATGAAAATGTTTCTCATTAAGCTATTTAATGATAAAGTAATGCACTAAAATACTTATTTTTTGTGTAGCTACTGGAGGTTGGCCTGAACAGGAAAACCCTCATATAAATCGTATAAACGCATTAATTGATTATCATAAAATATTAGGCTACATAGAGAAACAACAACGCGAGAAAAAGAAGTTTCGACCTAAGCGACTTTACATGCAAATGGTAGAATATTGAAATGGTATTGTGCCTGAAAAAAAATTTATTTTTAATTACATATTTTATTTTTTAATTATAGGCGATGTTTACTATGACATCTGCTATGATGCGTAAACGTATCGGCCTCCCTTCGGAACCTCCTATGCACTCGCAATCAACCGACGAACCACCGCCAGCTATTGCTAGCGAAGAAGTAGAGGAATTACCGGCGGAAATTTTTACTGAATCAGTAGATATAACTAAAAGTAATTATATGAATTCACATAGTAAGATTTTCTTGGTATTTGAAACAGTTCAATAAAAAGCAATCTTTGAATACAGTAACTACGCTAGAACAACGATTACAACATCCGGAAGTACAAGCGGAAAAAGTAAACGAACTACGTCCACAACATAGACAATTTTTAGTTAAGATATCGCAGCGGTGTCGAGTTTGCGAACATAGTCTCAGTAAACCAGATCTTTGTCCACAGTCTACAAAGTTCAAGATTCAACTGGCCGCATTGTAAGTGGTAATATACTCCGTATATTTTTATGTAAATATCTTTATTAAGATTTACTTCTTCCCAGCTATTATGTGCCAGAGGTAAGGATTGTTACTTGCGAACCACTTCGTCCAGGCAAGTCAAGTGAGCTGCTGTTAAAATTTTGTAACCCAACTCAGCATCAAACTCAAGTAACCTTATTACCATTGGATACACCAGTAATTCCTACTGTAACTGTAGCAAGTGAGAAAGAGGAGTTTGAGGAGGAAGATGCGCAACAGGTAAATATTAATGTCACGATTACTGAAACAATTATTTTCGATGCTATTATAATTGCAGGAATCTGAATCTCCAAATTTATTACCTTCTATTGTACGGCAAGTTCCGATAGTAGAAGAAGTTAAACCTGTAAAAATTTCTGCGAATGCGGATTTAGTTTTACCTCACAGCCCCCTTATTCTGCCACCCCGAGATGATGCTGCTGAATACGATGATATGGGTGACACTAATAATTTTCAAGATGATCCAAAGTATGTATTTCTTCATTTTTATATTATAACATTAGTAATTTAATTCATTTTTAAGGCTCGTGATTTGGCGAAAGGGAAATAAAGCGGTAATAAAACTGCACGTGACTCCGAATGAGAATATTCAAGAGAGTGGAAACGATTCAGTTATAGTTGGCTTCGTTATGCAGTACGGATACGTGAATACAATTACAACATTAGAACATAAAGCACCTCAGAAGCTGGATCTCCAGGTTAAATTGTTCCTTAGTGTAGGAAACATTGTTGGAACTGCTTAATATATGCTACCGTAATATTAATATTTATAAATACCAATTAATTTAATACAGTTAATTCTTACACTATAAAGATCATAATAAGTTGTACTAATCTTTCTAAGTATTGTTATGTTTTTATAACTTAAAATTATTATTTTTCAATTGCAATAATATAAAGCTATAAAGGAATGTTTCTTTTCCAGTTAAGCTCCAAAATTCGTGGTTTTGACTATTGTCCTATACATTTTTAATCAAAATGCTATTTGTTCGAAGAGGCGCGTTGTGAAACTGGGATCGCCAATTCTTTTAGCTGGGATTGTTTTGTGTATTAAGTGGATTTCAACTACTAAATAAGAAGAATATAAAAATACAATACAATATTTATTGTTGAATGTTGGTAAACCACGGACAAAATCATAAATTACAATCTGCGTCCACGACGACCACCCTTTCTACGCGTAGAATCAGATGGAATAGGTGTGACATCTTCAATACGGCCGATTTTCATACTAGAACGTGCGAGAGCACGTAAAGCTGACTGTGCACCTGGACCAGGTGTTTTTGTTTTGTTTCCTCCTGTAGCTCTTAACTTGATGTGAAGGGCTGTGATTCCAAGAGATTTACATTTTTCTGCTACATCCTATTAAAAAAATATATTACATACATCAAAATAAGTTGATATTTGAAATGTATTTATGCATATATTTCTATAACAAATGTACTCTTCCAGGTAAGGAAATGTACAAAAATATACACACCACTCCCATTATGTGGAAGAGATTTGATCTTTCACATATATGAACGCTTCTATAATAATAGAAGAGGTATAGAAGCTGCCTTTATGTGATTATATCGAATAAACATTTGCATTTAATTTTTTACCTGAGCAGCAAGCATAGCAGCATATGGAGAAGCTTCATCACGATCTGCTTTGACTTTCATTCCACCAGTAACTCTAGCAATAGTTTCTCTGCAAGGAATAATTGTACTTTATATTTTGAAGAAAACATTGATCATTAATATTTACAATTAGCATTGAACATACCTGCCCGATAAATCGGTTACGTGTACAAAAGTGTCATTAAAACTTGCAAAAATATGTGCAACACCAAAAACAACTTCACCTTCGCGGAGTTGAGGTCCAAGGGATACTTGAACTTCTTCCTTTTGTACTTTTCCTCTTTTTGGCGGCATTTCTGTACAAAATATTATTTTAATTGTTTATAGATATTAAATGTTTGCAATGATTCTATTTCTTTTCATTTTGTTATGTTTATATTTAACATCAATTTACATAAACATTGTGCATTTAATTTAAGGTTATATCTTGACAGTGTTCGAAACGTATAACCTCATGATGTAAAATATATCCAGCTGAATCTCAATGATAAAGAAAAAACTAACAAATAATTTATGTAAACTACACATAAATATGTTTATACTCTTTGTATAATATTTTATTTTTAGCAAAGTAACAAATTTTCCGGCTATAATACCTGTAAATTCAACCTCCAAGAAGGCTCCGATACAGCGCGATCAATAGAGGAAGTCTAAAGGAAGAGATAACTTCCGGGGCGTCGTAGTCGAACGTACATTCGATAGTATCGAAAGTCGAAATATAAAGAAGTAAAAGCAAGTGCAGTTTGAAAACAACGTTGACGAAGGAAATAAAATTATGTAAGTATTTAAAGAAAATAGAATAATATATTTCAATATAAATCTTATTATAGGGTATAAAAAAGTCTTAAAACTATTTATATCTTAATCAGAATCATCTATAACAATATTTTCGACATTTCTCTTCTTGTTAATTCTCTGTAAACCTGTTCTCATACAAGCTTTTAATGAAGTTTCAGCCGGTAAACTTTTTTTTGTGCCACGACCACCTCCTCGTGAGCCTCTACCTTTAGTACCTGCTTTACCTCTCGTACCTTTGCCTTTAGCTGCTGTATTTCTTTCACTATCCTCGTCACTGTCAGTTATGTCCAAAGCATTGTTTGAAGCCGTTTCCTTATTTGAATCATTAAAGAATTTATGTATCTATAAAATATGTAATGAAAGTATTTATATATTACATAATTTTGTACAAGATAAATTTCAATTTTGTTTAATTGTGATATAATCTTTTTTAATCTTGACATACCTCCATTTGTTCTTCTTCGTCTTTTTCCATTCTTTTGTCCCGTAAACATTTTATTTCTTTGACAATGCTTTCGCTATCATTGACGTTACAAGTTTCTAAATAACTTATGGTCTTCTTCATCTGATGACTGAATATTAAATTATGAATATTTACATATTTAAAATACAATATATTTTTAGCCATTTAACTGTAAATATTTTACCTTACTATATCTTTAAAAGCGTCTGTATCTCCTCTATCAATGAATCGATTTAATGCTTCATTTAAACCATTCACTGATAATACTGTTAATTTATCTTTATTTTGTTCTAAACTAAAATGGTTCTTGATACCTCCCTGTACAGATTTAATCCAATCTACATCGTCCTAATAAAAAGAATTCATGGCATTAGATTTAGAAAAGAATAATAGAATTAAATTATTTACATTATATTCAAATATTTGAGCCATATCTGCAAGATCATCATTGAAATTTGATACATTTGATTTTGATTTTTTATTAATACTGCTTTCTTTACGAAACAAAACCATCTCCATGGGATTAGCAACTTGCTCGCAATATTTCTGTGCCAATCTGAAATACATTTTTATATATTGTCCATTTATTAACTTCTGATTGAAATAATATTTTGATATAATGAGGCTTTACTGCATTCCATCAAATATTTCTCCCTCATTGCTATAGAATATTCTTAAACGAATCAAAGGCTGGATTGGTTGTTTAGGATGTCCTGTTAGCAGCAGGGCAGCTTTTCGTATAATCTCATTTTCTATATAGCGATCGATAAAATTGCATACGGATACAGCCAATGGTCGACTTAAATCTTTTTCTATTTCATGATCTTTAAGAATCACATTATCAAAAACAAATGGTCTGACAGTCTTCAATGGTAATGGTTTTAGTTTGAATTTCTTTTTACTTATACTCAAAATGCCGACATGTTTAGGTTTTGCTTCACCGTCGCATAAAGATGTTGCGATAGAACTTCCTAAAATTTCAGTTTTCAAATATAAAATTGTGTAATATTCTTATAGCACTCGAATTTTGAAAACTTCAATAATATAAAAACATACCAGGTTGGCAAATATAATAATTAGCATCTGGAACTTGTTCTGGAATAATACGACATTCATGTTCATGACCCCACAAAATAAAATCAAGACAATTTGGCAGTTTTGATTCTGGAATGTAGCCATACTCCTTATGTACAACACGATTTTGATGTAAAACAAATATGTTATAACAATCTGGTATGTCTGCTGGACGCAGCAAATCCATCTTTAAAAGGTTACTGTTATTAATAAAAATAGTAGGAGTTAATATACTGTACATGCTCTATAATTTTACCTTGTGATCTCTAATCAAACGTGATAGCCTTTGATCATTTATGTAACTTAAACCATAAAGTGCAACATGAGTTTCACCTTTTTTTATAACTAAGGGAGCAATTGATACCTTAGTAAGATCAGTCCACTTCCCAAAATAATTTACAAAACCAGATGCTGATAACAAATCCATTGATCCAACAGCACCAAAGCCTAGTTTTATTAACAATAAGAAAAATTAATTTAAAGCATTTACATATTTAAACATATTTCCATGTATTGTGTATTTCTTACTTGGATCATCATGATTTCCATGAATGGAGAATATTGGCATACTGATATTTAAATTTGGATCCTCATAATTCACTGTTTTATGAGCACAATGACCAAATACAACTTCAGGATCGCTTAAAAATTGAATCTTGATTTCTCTAATAAAGGGTCATAATTGAATTATACACCAATTACAGAAAATTGAATTAAATTATATATTACATAAAATTACTTCACTAACCTGGGACCTAAACAGTACTTTCTTAATAATTCCATGCATTTTAATATTGCAGTTTGTGATGGTTTAGTATCATGAAATAAATCTCCACCAAGAAGTACAAAATCTACTTCATGTTCTTTACCATATTGTAGTATTTCCTCAAAAGTTATGAAGCTATCGTCTATTTCCTGACCTGTAGTCAAAAAATATTAAGAATATGACTAATTCTTAGTTTAGTAATAATATCACAACCAACCTCTTTTTTTACTATATTCAAAACCAAGGTGAATATCAGTTGCAATTAAAATTTTAATGATATTATCTGGATTGTTAATATCAACGGAATTTTCTTCGGTTGACATTTTGTATATTTAATAAAGAACGTTGTGTTAAATTTGACTGAAATAAATATGGTATGATATAACCTCAATGAAGGATATTCAAATTCTATGCTTTCTATATTTGCATAGACATAGAATTATAATTCTATATTTTACCAATATTTTTATTTGTACTTTTAATTAATGAATATTACATTAAACAATAATTAAGTAAATAAACTTAAATGAAAAAAATTGTAATGCTAAAGCTTTCTGGTATTTTATATTTCAAGTAAAAACCGCGGAAATATGGATACAATATCCGAAGACGCACGAGAACGCCCGAAGCGAAGCCGAACGAATCGGTGGTAGGGGTCGTTGGGGCGGCGTTCCGATCGCCACCTAGCGGTCAGTCGGCAGTCGTAGCAGCGAGGCGCAGGAGGAGGTTTGCTCGCCATATTTGTTGTTGTCGTCGATGGGGTAGGCTAGCTGAAATTAAGGATTAGTGCAGTGTTGTAGTGTGTAATTTTAACGTAAAGTATCGAAGTCGTTCGTGTGCCCGTGGTAGGTTTAACCTTCGTAGAAGGTACCGTGGACACAGTGCAAGATGTCTCTTACATAAAACTGGTGGGGCAGTGGTGGCTCAGCTGTCCTACTCTGTTGTCGAGTGCGCCGTTGTGTGTGTATGTGTGCATATATAACATATATATATATACATATATTATATACATGTTTGTGTATTACTCCCCATTCTGTTCTGGTTCCGTACTGTTCGTTCGGTGGTGCTAGTAATAGTAGTAGTAGTGGTAGTAGCAGAAGAAGGAAGGAGGGGTGTGAAGTGCACCAGTGACGGAACGGTAAACTTTTTAGAGAGGGTGAGGTAAGCAGGAAAAGGGTTAGAGTCTATATGTACAAAGAGGTGTGAAAGGTGGAACAGTAAAACATGCAGGGCAGTAGATGTAAGAGAATAGATGTAAGGAAAGAGTGCTTCCCTTTGCGGGGTCGGGGTCGTCGCACGTTCTTGACGTGGGTCTGTCGACCCGCCAAGGTCCTTATGCCTCCGATTCTCGTGTCACTGATACTCTTGTGTCCATCTTTCAAATTTTCATTAGAATCTCATTGTTCGAAATGCAACCTAACCTAGTTGTTTTAACCCGATCACATGCTGTTCGAGTTTTGACGTTCACCATTATACTCGCAACTGACAAATCGACCGTTGGTGTTTTCGTAAGTGTCGTGCATCTAGTGATTTTTTTTTTACTCGTCCAACTGGTGCGGGATGGTTCAAAATATTTAAGGCGGTACTTTTTCGTACAAGAAAAATCAATACGCTTCTTCTAATATAGAAACGACGTGAATCAGCTGTTCCTGTTTTACTTCAACTTCCGAGAAACTTGATGTTTTTCGAACGCGTATCGGAACCCGTGCGTTCGTCGATCATTAAAATTCCCTCGTTCTAGGACTTGTTGATTTTGATCAACGATTCGTGGCGATCAATTGGTCGATCACATCCGATATCAGGAGTTGAATGTTATTGTGGTTATTATTAGCATTGTTTTTTGTGCGGCTGGAAATAAGTTCTCAACGGGGAAGGATTATTTCATTGGTCGCATTGTTATGTTTCCCTACAATGCCGCCATTAATATTCGGACATATATTTGAACACTATCGCTAAGGAAACTTTTTCTCAGAATTGCAGTTGTACGTTAAGAAATCAACTTCCGCCGTCGCGGCACGCTTTGCTTTAAATTTATCCTCGGAAAGTAAGCAAAACTGAATAACAGAATTCGAAAGTGAAAGGTGACCTTCTTGGTAGCATCGCGGACCAAATAGCAACGGCGACACTGGCGAAACGATTTGAAAATGTAACTGATTATTCTTTTTCACAAATTAAATATTACTCTTCATAATAATTATTGAAATTCAACGAAAATATTTTTAAAAATTTTTATCAAGTTATCAAACTATTTGTAAGGTGGAAAAATATTGGATTTTTTAACAATTTAAAGTTTTATGTAAGGTGGAAAATTAACTCGCATAGGATCGAATTCTAGTGCTAGTTGTAACGTTGCGTGCACCATTTCGAGGAACAATTAAAAGTAGAGACGGTTATAGGTGGTTGTGATGACAAAGGGGGTTAATAGAGGGGAAGTATCGGACATCGTGTTGGCGGTGGTAAAACGGTGGTTAGAGGCGTACGCTCGGATTTACCAATTACCGCGGGTATGGAGTCAAATCAGAGTTTCGATTAACAAATTTCATAGTTGCCCAGTCACGAAAAGTCTCTCAAATATAACCGAGATACATATATACATTCTCCGGTTGACATTGACCGGCTGTTTTTCACCGAGACACCGTGTAAACAAAACTCCTGATTCTTCGAACCTTTCAAAATCGTTTTGTTTTTGTTGGAAATCTTTTGCAATTTTCTATTTTTGTTGCATGCTGATGTATATGTACTTTAATTGTTTATTCGTTATACAAGTTTGTTATTTTATAAATATTTCAGATAATACAGAAACTTGATTGTTTAAGGATTTTGAATAATGTATAAACAAAGCACTGAACCCTTTTTCAAATATCAATGAAACATTATTCTTGATTTTCTAATATTTTTATATGATATTGGAGTGTTAGTACACTCCTCCACCCTCTTCTTTTTCAAATTTAATTAACTCAAATATAACACCATAAGAAGAGGGTACAGAGCTAGAAATACACTCGGCTGCAACGTAGGCTTCCTTTGACTTTATGAAGAACGTAGGATTGACACTTTCCCTTGACGAAGGGAAGCCTAGGTCGCACGATGCAATCATTGAAAAATCAATTCCCTGTAATAACTCGGATGTTTTGTTTCCGCAGGCGGCGAATCGTGGCGCACAAGGTGAAGGATCGGCGCGTTAAACGGTGGCTCGGCTCGTAGAAGGCGGCGGCGGTGTCGTCGCTTGGTGATCGCAGTGGGGCCTTCGTCGGAGCACGGTGGCTCGGCCGGGGGCGCAGTGGCTCGTAGTGTCGCGCGTGCCGATTCGTACGACAATTAAAACTGGCGGGCAACCTGGCTCGGTCTCCCGTGGCGGTGGGTGGTAGCGGCGGAGGCGGTGGACGCGGCGGTGGTGGTGGAGGAGGGGGTGGAAGTGGTAGCAGCGGCGGTGGTTCCGGTGGCGGCGAGGCTAGAGTGACCGTGGGAAATGTCTCCGGTCAGAACGGTCCACAGATAATCGAGTGGGAGGAGGCGGATCGTTACTCCTTCGAGGACTCGGATCGTTTCGAGGAGGATTCTTTATGCAGCTGGAGCAGCGAGCCGGAATCGTTGTGCAATAACTGGAGGGGATGGCGGCGACCAACCACCGGTTTCACCACCATCAAGAAGCCAACGGAAGGTGAGTCTTTATTTACCTTCGAAACGATTTGCGACAACGAGGCTCGTGGTGCGTTAGTATGCTGAAAGACGCGATGCGAGACACTCCTTGCTGGTGTATCATAACCCCTTGAACCCCTTATTAACCAACGAATAGATAACTCTGACTGTCGCAACTACCGAAGAAATAATAGACGAAGGGGTTAAGGGGTTAAACTATGTAAGCAGGGGTAACTTTTCCCTCTGAATTCATTCTTAATTACAAAAATCCCACGTTGCATTCTCTCGTTTATTCTTTGAATAATCAAAGTTAATCGAGACGAATCGGCGGCTATCTATGGCAATTTCGAAGAGAAAGAAAAATAGATTAGAACGTGAAATTACATAGTTCCCGATCCTGGGGTCTGTGTAAATCCTATCTGTAGTCGGTTCAGTTACCATTAAGCGGTTTGATAGCCCGGTTTAATCGGCGACTCCGCGGCCAGTTAACCGGTCCGATGCTGGGGGTCCATTATATCTTCGGCAGCTAAGAGGTATGCATTGTTACTGGGTCTAAAGAGAGACGGGCGTGTGGCAATGCATTGTAATTCTCGTGTCTCTTTAAGCGTCGCTTCAGATACTCGCTTAGCATATGACGCATACAAATTCCATGGCCCGTTGACATGAACGGGCAAGGTTAACGATTTCCCATCTTCCTGATTCATCATCGCGTTCCACGCGAGCGGTTATCATTCTTCGTACTTCGTCGTCTTTCTACGATTCGATCGACGTCTTTAGGCTGATTAATCACCTGTTTCCTACGACCTTCAATTCTCAATACCTCGAAGAGCCAACCAGCGTATTCCGCGACTTTGACACGCGGCATTCTCCGACATTAGAAATGATAGAAATTAGCCATTTTACGGCGTATATTCAGTCGTAGCAAACTGGTCTTAGGATGCATCGAACGGTATCGTAGTTTTTTCTTATTACTGTAATTCACTTGGCACGTGTTCAACGCGAATTACTCTCGCAAGTGTACATTATTTTGCCATAATAATTTGCGACACGGTTGCGCGTCACGAGTCGAGGTGCGAAGCGAAGGCCAATTTATCTGCCATATATCGTTCGAATATGACTTTTCATCCTCCGAGGAGAAAAATCAATTTTTGAAGATTATTTCTTTTCATTGCACCGATAACGGGAGCAAACAAACACTGTTTCCGATTTTACCAGTCTGTCTGGAAGATGGAAAGAAACCGTCAACAAATAAGTACCGTTTCATAATGCCAAAGTGTTATCAGCCACGTGAGATTAGTTTTCTGAAAACACATTGCGCTGTATTGTCGTCGTTACGTGCATTCGCGGAATATTATCGCCTCTCGTTATATCACCGGCTATCTATGAGTGTATTCCTCGAAGAATTTTTGAACCTCGGATAATGGATGGTTCTGTCGATGACGTTGCTTCTCGCAAGACCTTTCTTTATCTCTCAAGTACGACGTTAAAGTTCCGATAAAACGTAAGAAATTGATAAGTCCTTTTGGTCAATGAAAAATTAAATCGATTCAATTTTTATTCGTTTACTAATGCCTAATTGATTAGCCAGTATCTCTTATTGCTCGTTGAACTTGGATCGCTGTAAAAATAATTGGGAATATCGGAAAGAGTGATTATTTTTACAGCAACCTGGTATACCTCGAAGTTTCGAACACCTTTCAAGTGGAAGAAAATCGTTTTCGAATCCGAAACGAAATTTAACGCTGTAGACGGATTTTTCGGGGAGGTCTAAAGCAATTGCTACCTGGGAGAGTACTTTCCAATCGGAAGGAACGATTGGAAACGATACGGACGTGCAACCGTTTCGAGTCATTCCTTGCACACATACAATCGCGAATGGAAATTTGTGTACACGTTCACGTGTGTATTTACAATCCCTGCTTCGCCCGGGTATACTCGTTTCCTCTTTCTCCACGGTCCTTGCTCCTTGGCGAAGCGATCAAGGCCGAGAAAAAGACTAAACGGAGAACGAAATGGAGGAGGAGAGAATGAATCGTACTCGCTTTCCTTCTTGTCCCGAGATTTCATCCACTTCTCTCGGTTTATCGAATCAAACGTGTTACATTCGTCCAGATTTAACGAAAGATCCTATAAATTAATTAAAAATAATAATAATATGAAGATTTAAGAAGATTGACTTTCATTTGATCGTTTATCGTTTATGGAGGAGAGAATCATCGATAAAATTTTATTTTTTTCTCTTAAACGGACCATCGTGTGCACTTAAATCCGTGGATTACGAAAAGGAACGTGCTTTCAATGCGCTCGAGAGATGTCTCGGGTCGTTGTAACAGTCGCGTCATAAAAGCACCTGGTTATTTTTAGTCTCGGTCCATTTATGACGCCGAAGAAACACCGTTCTCCACCCGCCTGCATGGGGCTTTAATTTTCCGTTAATAAACGAGACGAAGCCCGGACGTACGTACACAGGCACGCACCGTTTTTAAACGGTTTCCCTCGACCAGTTAGTCCACGCGTTTCCTACTCTTCTATACCGGGGGGGAATCCCATAAGAATTGCAGCCACGTAGAGAAAGTATCTCATTTTACTTTCTCGGCGCATGCGCGTACCACGCTGCGCGCATACATTTAGAAAGTACGGCCGCGTTCACGTTGACGTTACTGTTTGCATTCTGTCTCATTTCGTCGCTTTTTGGTCATCGTTTTTATCTTCGTTTGCAAGGACATTATTTTATTTGCAATTATGCTGTTACGCGATGGTAATTTGTTTCTTTATGACAGGTAACTAGACTTTGATTTCTAGTGACATTTTGTTACGCGCGGTAAGGCGCGCTTTTGATTTGCGCATGCGCGAGTGAGTTTAGGGGTAACTATACGATATGAAATACAAATTTAAGAAATGCGGTTAGGTTTATCGATAGTTTAATAAAATAAGGAAAACAGCAAATTTCTAATTTTTGTTTTTTTAGTGAGAATAACAAACTTAGTTTGAATTTTATTTTATATTGGTTATGATATTTTGAAATATGAAAAAATTTACGAAACTATGCGTCACCCTGTATGCTGTAAGTGAGCAACCTTAGCACATCTATGACACGCCTATACCTATTTGAAAGCGTGACAGTTGGAGATGGTGTACGGTCACGCGCGCCACGCCATCCGGATTTCAATTAGACTAATGTACCGACAGCGTTGCGAAAGGAGTATTCATTCCCGCCACTCCGTAGCATGCCTCGTGGAATGCACGGACCATGAGATCTCGACACGAACAGCAGCTAAGAAACGCTTCTTCGTGAAAACTGTGAGCAACGATTGCAAAATGAGGTTTTTGTCATCGAAACATACTGGTATATAAATTAATTACAAGAGTAATCGAATAATTTAATTGGTAATTCTACTTTTATGATTCCTTAGAAATTTTATTTACTCAATGCAATAAAAATGAAAGAGCATAAAGGGTATCTGACATGCGTGTAGATGCGCGATATCAGGAAAAGGTTAAAAACCGGGATTCGTCCAGCTTCCCTTCCGGTACGTCCCTCAGAAACGTCGGTAAGCAGGGAAAACAATGGGTGGGTGTTGCAGGATGTATCGCTAAGAGTGGAAAAAAAAAAAGAGAAAAAGAAAGAATAGCAGAGCGGGAAAGGTTGTACGCGAGAGGTGGTAACGAGAGAAGGAGAAGTAGTACGGAAAGAGAGAGGGATGAATGTCGTGGGTGGCGAGGGTGAAACGGGCCGTTGCTCGAGGGTGACAAAGGGTGGTCGTGAGAGATGAAGAGCGGGGGTTCGAAGGGAGGGCAGGTTTTGCCGGTCGATGTTGCTGTGGCTCGTGTTTGCGAACACCCCGTGCTCGTACGCAAATGAAGACATGGAAATTGTTAGATACGATCGATCAATAGGATTTCTAATTCTGCTCTAAACTATAGAAAATTGTTAGGTATTTTAGAAATTTTGCTTACACCCTGATTGATTTGAAATTTAGCTTCCCATATTCATTTTTTCGTTACTTTAGTTATTATATCGTGTGTCTAAAATCACGTTCATATTTCTTGTCAAATTTTCTCTCGATACATTTTTATCGTGAAATTTAATGAGAAACCTGAATGACCGTAGAACGGCCTTGGCACCTCCACCCACTGACCTTCATTAGCATTCTAGTGGCTGGTCTTTAGAACTCCTAGACATTCAATTTCCTTGGCTCGTTATAAAAGCTTGTTTAAGCAGCTTTAGATTAGGTACCGAAAAGAGAAAGGATATTAACGTTAAGTGAAACAACCTTAGAAATAGTATCGCGTGTCCACTTGTTCAACAAGCATTGCTCCATTCACGAGCTATTGGCAGTCGTGCTTCCAATTTGCTTGGAAGCGAGACGACTCGAGAAATGCGATCGAACGCCGATATCGGATTTGGATAATTCCATTGGTCGTCCGATAATTGAATCTATCCGAGCATATCCGGTCCCCGGTCGGATACTCTTGAAGATTCATCGAGATCTATCGCCGTCGGGCGAAACCTCGCAAACGTGTTAGTTTGTCCGATAGTAAACATTTTCTGTGAGAATCTTGTCCAGGATGAAATGAAATAAATATTTACCGAATGTTGCAAAGCTACAAGAATTATTATAATTTTATTAATTATCTGGTTAACCGATTAAAAGAATTACCCATTAGTTCCATTTTTCCGTCCAATTAATCACTCACACGGTTCAGATATACGAGCCGTTGTCTCTCTTCTTTTTTCAATAGGGGCAAACGAATATTTTCTCGCGAGGAAATAATTCGCGGGAAGCGCGTAATTAAACTCAAGGAAATACGAGCAAACCCGTATCAGCGAAAGGTTTTATTAGCCGGCTGGAAGTTTCGCGTCGATACGAGCTTCGTTGCGATTCTATCGTTGAATTTATATTTTCGCCGTGTTACGCGATTTTACGTGCCGCGCTCCTCGCATCCGTGTACGAACACGTATAGCGCGTGAAAAATTTGCATGCAAGAAACGTGCATCGAGACATCCACTTCACTGCCGTG